CCCCCCCCCCCCCCCCCCCCCCCCCGACAGCTGGATGAGCCACTACATCAACATAAAAAGCTGCAATTTCTGCCATGAATATAAAGTACATGACTTTGCAGTTCATTTTCACAATAGATGGAATAAAAATGTATGTCATGACAAAAAGTTTATTGAAAAGGCAAAGAGATAAAAGTATTATAAAATTTTATTGTTTACTGTATGTAGTCTCCATACTGTAACCCCTCCCCAAATGATCAGTGAATATGCTTAAGATGACCAGACAAACACCCGGCTAGTCATCCGTTATCTTCTTGAAATATTCCTCAGAAATAAAATACAACAAATCGAAACAAGGTGTCAGTTCAACAGTAAGCAGGAAAGTCTTTCACACTCTCAAACCAAGAAGAAAAAAAGCATATACGTTTTCTGCAATCATGCACTTATGAAGATAAAAATGTAATTCTGTACTCCAAAACCTTCAGCTTATTCACCATAGTGATATGAAATTGGCTTATGAATACAGGATAATAACTGCCACGCTCCATATATTCAGCTAAATGTATGAAGTTCTTAAGTATACATATCAAACAATAAAGTTACATTACATCTACCTCCTGTGTAAATATGTATATTTAAGAAATATATACATTTTCAACAACCAGCATCTCAAATTAGTTTACAGAATCCAAAAGGTTATTATTAACACAGAACCAACGAGGGGCTATTACCTGCGGGACAAGACGATGATACAGTAGCTCCTCTACAAAGACACACGAGAAGTAAAGAGGAGAAAAGACATGACGAAAAATAAAAATATGTTTGGGAGTAGTATTCAGGCAGCGTTCTGGAGCTCTGCATGACGGTGCCGGTCCACTGTAGTCGTCCTTCACATTTGATCTCGGAGTTTGGCGAGCCGTTGAGACAGTTCATCCTTTGGACAAGAGAGAGAGCAACGACCGGCAATAGTGAGCAAGAGGAAGACGAGAGAAGAATCCATTCCATTGAAGTTTTTATTGCAAATACTGCATTTTTAATGTCATTGTTTGACTTCGTTTGTCTTTACGGTCATCACATTTCCTGAGTCTATGCGATAAACCCTTAACTTACATTGCTACAAGCCATCTGGTTTGTGTTATTTTTTTTTAAAAATGTATATTTAAAGTGTTTTAACACCAAGTGTGCACGTGTACCTGCTCTGCAGAGGCCACGCTGGTACCCACTGATCCCGTCTGTCCCTGAGGGAGCTCCATGTTCAGGTCCAATCTAAACACACAAACAAAGCTTATTTTTAGATTACAAACACAATGTATTTGACGCTTCCATCTAAGAATGTATACCACAGACCCGTGTACGTGATTGAACATCATTTCACAAAGAATGGGGAGGAAAAAAAGAATGAGAAGGTTACCCTGCTTCATCCGCCAGTTCGTGCATCAAAGAGTCCACTTGATTCTGAAAACACACATGAGATTCACAGTGAATGTGTTTGTCTGTAAAAAAACAACAAGAGAGAATGTAAGCGTAGAGGAGAGAAATGTACCTGTGGCGTCGTGAGCGTTGTTGTGCTGCTCATGCTATCCTCCATGTGGGCCGTCTGAACATCCAGAGTTTCAAATTGGCGCTCGAATCTCTCCATGAGACCCGAAATCTGACAAGAAAAAAAGGGATCGAGACATTGTTTTATAAGTATGAGGAGTTTTGTTACACAACGACTAAAACATTTACATTGTTTTTGCTGAAAAGAAATATGGAAGAACATATTTTTTTCATGACTCTCTACCTTTTCCAGATTCATAGACTTCAGGGTGGCATCCATGCCTTTCACCACTCCAGCCATAGATTTTGTGACCTGAAAAATAAAACACCATCACTAAATTGACAACAAACAAACACGCAAGTCTGAAATGAAAATATTCAGCCTGTAGCTGATTTCCAAGTCTTACAGCAGTACTCAATGTACCTGGTTCATTGTAACTGCAGTTTGGACCCTCGCTGCCACCGCGTCTATCCGAGCGCTCATCCTCAAGAAGTTCACAGACTGGTTCTTCTGTCGGATGGCGTTCTCCGCGTGGATCCTTGCCACTTCCATGTTCCCCTTCTGGATGGCCTAAAAAAAAAACAGCAACAAGGCGGTAGAGTAAAATTCTTCTGTGGCCTTTGGTCATGCCTTACCTTGATGGAGGTAAGGGGTAAGGGGCCCACTTACTTTCTTGATTTTAGCCTTCTCCACTTTTTCCTCTTTGTCACATCTCTTGGAGTTTCTTTGGAGTTCTTTGGCAGCGAACTTTAAATTGAAGAGTTGTTCTGTGATACGAGGTTAAGGAAGCACAAAGTCCAAACACACACACAACAAGCAACCTTTGATAACTCTAAAAATACGTGTTTGTTTTGTAGGAGGAAATAGCAACGGGAGGCCTTAAAATGCATGTATTAAGCTTCTAAATCTGTTTAGAATTGTATCTGCTAATATTTTAAATAGACATATTTGGAAAAACTGTACCCTTGACCGAGTAGACGCGCAGTGACAAATACAGTTATGTAACCGGTGTTGTTTTAGTTTCCTGTGACTTTATTAATGCTTTGTTAGATCAAAGACAGTCATAACGAGATTACATAAACAAGTCAAACGTTAAGACGTAGGCGCGCGCTTTGGCTCTTTACTTTAGTATTTGGAGGCTAGCTAACACTACATGGTTACATTGTATGTCATATGTCCGTTGTTGGGTATTTCCAGTCATTTGCATTGAAGCTTCCGAGGCCTTCGAGTCCAGTTCTGTCCTCTTTTACGACGTCTGGAAATAACTAGGACATGTTAAGGTTATTTAATAAGCATGTAATATGTTTTGGTCAATATCTCACGTATTAAGCAGGTGTTTCAGATGTCTTGTCGGGCATACAGCTCACCAGTATCGTCATGTTGTTGTGCTCGGGCTTGTTTCTCCATATCGACGCTAACGCGTCGTTGTTTTTAAAGGATACTGTCCATTGACGGCATCTTGAGGCGACTTTTAGCGAGTCCAACGATTAACACGATGAAATAATTTACGGTCAGTCCGCAAAAAAAAAACAAAAAGCTAAACTTAGCAGTGAAACTTCAGTCCTTTTTCCAGGTTTTGGTCTGTCGCCCCGTTCGCCTTCTTCCGCACTTCCTGGTGTCTTTACCAAAATATAAACGACGTCAGCGTCACGTGGTGGCGGTGTTCCATTCGACGTCACGACGGGAGCTGCCTCCTCCTCGCAAAAAATGTGAATGAAAAAAGAAAACTGTTAACATTAAAACGTGACACGTTTGCTGTTAAACTTCGTGTTAACGCGTTGGTGTTATTTGGTGTGGGATTAACGGGACTGTGTCGTAGTGTCGTAGTGGGCGGTGAACGCGGCTGATTGATGATTAGATTCACGGTGTGGATCACGATGACTCACCCCGGTCTGATGTGATGCTCAGCCCGCAACAGTGCAGTGGCACGCCGGTTCGCTCCGCCTGACACGTCGGTGTGCTCCACCAGCGACAGTCTAAACTTCATCTATTTGTTAGCGTTAGATAGGACGTGCCCCCGACACCACAGCCTATACCTTGTTTGTTTTGAACACTTCAGTGTTTGTCAGTCCCCTGCTGTAGCGTTATAGACGCAGAGACCGAGCGTCGTGATTTACCGTACATTTCGTGACGCCTGATTTGCCATGGAAACAGTGCTACTGCGCTGAGAGGAAACTGTCCGCGTGAAGTTCAGCATCAACCTCTCCAGAGGGGTCGGATAAACCTGTTGGATATCTCACTGGTTTGTTTTTGTTGCTTTTCTTGTGTTGCTACTCTGGTTTTACTTTGCATTTTGACCATACATCAGGTGAGTTTTTAAAACTGTGCTTCTGTTGTATTATTGTGCCTTTAGTCTGGAGAAAAAACGCAGTTAATGTTTACTGTTATTTTACTCCAGTAGGTTGCCCCAAATGTTCAACTTGAGACCTGCATCTGTGTCTTTAAAGGAGTATAAATGCACCATAAAGCACAGATGCTGAGCTCATGAACGATGTGGTGATTTAGTGAGTTTGATAAATGAGCAATATTTGAGTTTAAAACATCAAAGAACAAAAGTGGCCTGTGCAAAATATTGTTTGGTCATAGAAGTCTTTAAAATATCCACCAATATGTGTGCCTCCAGATCACGACAATCTATAGGTTGACTAATATAGTCTTTAAAAAAGGCTATAATCTATTCACTGGTGGAACATTTGATGAATTTCACAACCCTAAACGCCACCTTAAGTGGTGCGTTTTGTGTCGTTGTTTTGCGCACAGGGAGATAATCCAGGAGAGCTAACGAGTGATGTTTCTTTCAGAGGCTGTATGACTCATATAGTCTTCTTATCTATAAAGAAGCCGAGTGGTAGAGGAGCAGTGCTGCTGCAGGACCGAGCTGATGTAACCCCTGAGATTCACTAGAGGCTGCTGTGGGCCACACTGTGTTCTTACCCACTGACCCCTGATACTAACACAGGCTGAGGATGTAGTGCAACAGGACCAGGGCAGCGGGACAACTGGTGTTTGTTTTCACTGCAAAACATATTTCTGAAAATATTGATATTGAGTTTGAGCTATATTGAATTAAATGCAAGCGTTATGCTCTCCTATATCTTGGTCCAAAAATGCAAAAAAAATGCAAAATAAATAAAAGAATATAAGAATAATTAATAAAAAATAACAGATGGACATAGATGACCGATCATTTCTAATCACTACATAATACTTTTGGCACACACCTGGTATGAACTAATAAATCTAATTAAGTAAAGATGTTTAAATAAAGGATTATAATCTTAAGTGATATTTAAAGTACCATTGATACGATGAGCTGAAAGTTGGTGCATCTTCACATTTTCTGTCAAGCTTTATGATATTGCACTGATTCACTTACCTTGAACTGAAAGATTAAATTTCCTTTACAATAGCCTATATTTTGATATCATTCTGAAAAAGCATTAGTGTGGCAAAGCAGCAGTGGCAAAGATTTAGCTAAAATCCTGACTGAAAAAATCGAATAAAGTTTAATCTCCATCTCCTTTTAAGACATAAAAAGACAAAAAAAAAAACGAAAGTAGATAATAAAAAGCACTTTATAGCAAGTATGAGCATTCATCTCAAAACCCCGTGAGGATCCTTATTAACTCTAATGTTGTCATTAAGGTAGATGAGTATGAAGGTCCTTTAAACCTTCCAGCAATGGGCTAAACATTTGCCTCAGTAGTGAGTGAGTCGGTGTACATTCATGATGACGCACCCTTTTCCCTTGTACACATTACAATATTGTCACATTATAACAGCAGGAATAAGCACATCGCTATTTATTAGAATCATTAAGTGGCCTATTGTGCAACCACAGGATTAATGCCTTTTTTGGTATGACACGCTTATATTCAGCACTCCTATACTTCGGAGGGAAAAGAGCTCACACATACAGGTGCAGTAGAAAAAGATAAGTCCAGACTGCCTCTTATAGATCTGTCGATCAGATTGTCCCTGCAGCTGCCAGCCAGTGAATAACGGACAGGTGAGTCACCTGTAACCAGCGGACGGGCACATGATCATGGAGGCATTTCAACATGGCGACTACTGAATGTTTATCTTGTGAGAAGTAAAATCATGTGAGAAACAGCTGATGACGTTCATAATACACCTGGAATGTATTTGTTCACTGTCAGAAAAAAAACAACCTTTCAAAACTCACAATGCATTGGGTTGTTATTTTACAGCATTCATTTACACATTCTAATTTGATATATATATGATATATATGTCAGATCTCTGTTTCACAGGTGAGGATGATGGAGCTTCAAGCGGAGAAGAGGTTCCACAACTTGACCCTCGAGCAAATCCAAGCTCTGGACGAGGTCTTGACCGAGGTAATCCCCATCCACGGACGAGGGAACTTTCCCACGCTGCAGGTGAGAGCGAAGGACATCATTCGTGTGGTGAAGGATCGGCTGATCGAAAGAGACATCCAGGTGAAAGACATACGGCTCAATGGCGCGACTGCCAGCCACGTCCTGGTGAGAGACAACTGCATGGGCTATAGAGACTTGGACATCATTTTTGGAGTGGAGCTGCCCAGGCAGGAGGACCTCCAGGTGATAAAGGAGGTGGTGCTGGGCAGCCTGCGAGACCTCCTCCCTTGTGGAGTTAACAGACGGAAGATCACCTGCCTGACAATGAAGGAGGCCTACGTGCAAAAGATGGTGAAAGTCTTCAATGAGCACGACCGATGGAGCCTCATCTCGCTTTCTAACAACAGAGCTAAAACCGTGGGGCTCCGGTTCATCAGCTCCTTGCGAAGACAGTTTGAGTTCAGCGTGGACTCCTTCCAGATAATATTAGACCGCGTGCTGGAGTCTTACTGGGAGACCGAACGGAAACAGAGAGAAAAGTTGGCATTGAGCGCTGGGGATTTGTCTAAAAGAGACAGTGAGGATGAAAAAAAAATGCAAGCAAAACCGAGCATTCCTCGGGACGTTGAAGCGGATGTTGGAAAAGACTTGAGCGGTGAAAGTCTATGCCTGAATGAAGCAGCTTCTGTGCTTGAGAAAGATCTTCCACGTGCAAAGATTGAGCGTGTGGATGGAAAGCAGGAGGCAGAGGAAGTGTTGGAGCACGAGACCGTCAACTTACAGCGGGAGGACGTGGACGGCATAGAGGACGTTCATTCAGAAGAGGACATTGTGTTTGAGCTATGTGAAGGCAACGGAGAAGAGAAAGGACAGCTTCGCAGTGATTACCCTTTAGTCTCATCTCCTAAAACTTTACTGGCAGTTGTCAGGGATCCGCCGATGACGCATGCATGTTTAAAGCCACAGAGCGATGAAGAGCCGTCTGAGTCACAGGCTTCCCAACCAGCAGAAAAGGCAGCTCCACAGGAAAACGTCCATTGTGCAGAGATGATTCAGTTCAAAGTCGACTCTGAAAATACATCGAGCGCACAAGATTCACATCATGAATATTCCTTTCCTCCTCCAGCGAAGAAGACTTGCAGCACATCACAGGGCGTTGTACCGGACTATTGCCCCTCACCAAAATTACAAAGGAAAATGTCAAGGAAGATGATCAGTCAGCCTGATAAATGGTCTTTACTGACTGATTTATCCGATCTTACAACACAGCTGTTTCCACCCATAGACATACCCAAACCACTTCAGCCTCCCTCAGTGGACAGCGCTCAAGTTCACGCCTCAAATGTTCCGGCCTCCGAGCCAGAGACCTTAGACGCCCTAACAGCTCTCGCATGCCGCCGAGCCGGTACACCTCAGGATGGGACCGGCTCCAATGAATCTGTGGAACAAACCGTTAAGCCAAAACACCCGAAGAAGCCTCCTGATTCCCAAACACAAAGCCGCACACGTGCAGCAAACGCTCAGCCTCAGATCAACGATCAACCATGGGAGCAGACGGACGCCGTCCCGAACAGGTGCGGGCCAAGCTCATGGGCCGGGGCAGCAGGGGAGCCCACCATCACCGTCGAAGCAGAGTGCATGTACGGAGACTTCGAACAGGCGATGGACCACCTTCGCCACCGTCTCATCGCCACACACAACCCGGAGGAGATCCGAGGCGGGGGCCTGCTCAAATACAGCGACCTGCTGGTGAGGAACTTCAGGCCGGCGAGCGAGACGGAGATCAAGTCCTTGGAGCGATACATGTGCTCCCGCTTCTTCATCGACTTCCCCGACGTGAGCGAGCAGCAGCGCAAGATCGAGGCCTACCTGCAGTGCCATTTCCTCGGTAACGAGGAGACGAGCAAGTACGACTACCTGATGACCCTGCGGCGCGTGATAGACGAGAGCACGGTGTGCTTGATGGGACACGAGAGGAGGCAGACGCTCAACATGATCACGGTCCTGGCTCTGAGGGTGCTGGGCGAGCAGAACGCCATCCCCAGCACAGCCAACGTCACCTGCTTCTACCAGCCGGCCCCGTACGTGACGGAACCGATTTACAGCAGCTACTTCATCACCCAGGCCCAGCCCCCACTCGTCTACCACCCCTACCCGCTACATGTCCACGTGCAGACCGGCCTGGTGTAGCTACGGTGACATGCCCGCTGGGAGGCGTGTAGGCTGCTTTCAGCATGGTGCTCTGCGAGCAGAGGCACAAATGGAAGTTTTACAAAAACACAACAGGCAACCCACGGGCGCAGTGTTGTTTGATGCTTCGAAACCCCCTCCTGCTTATGACATGAAAGATCATGAAAAGGCCAGAACTGAAAGGTTTCTGGAGGCAAAGCATGTCACCCTTTCAAGATGAACACTTTAGGAAAGGAAAGAAATGCGAGGAGCCCGCTTTTCCTGAGAGCTCGGAGAGAGGATTTCATTGAAGTGGGTGTACGACCGTGTCCGCTCAGCTTTGGCAGGTCTCTACGCTGGTCATCATCCCGTGTGGAGGAGAAAGTTGTCATGTGACAATTCTCTAAGGCTTGAAGATGCACTTCTCCACCATAATAACACCTGTTGGCAGCAAAAGTGATTTGGGTTCAAGTTTGATTAATGATAAAATGTTAATGTTTCTGACGGTTAAAAACCTCATATAGCTGTTTTTGTGAATCATCAGTCTCCGTGGAGTAAATTTCAGCACGTGAGTATTCCTGTGTATTTACTGAGGGCAGACATTAGACAAACTTTTCTGTGGTCTGTCCATGTTGTCGTAAGTTTTATATTTGTGAATGTAACAACAACTTATTTCAAAGATAGAAACAAGAGATCCGAGTAGGTACCATTAGGACTGTATGAAAATTATTAGGGTGGTGGGGGAGGGGACTGAACCTCAGGAATTTATTTATTAAGAGTTTCATCTTCATCAGGATTGTGTGGGTGTGGTTGAATCTGATTTAATTGACAGGGGCCTGGCATCATGTGCAAACAACACAGCAACTCTCAACAGAGTTTAATTTAAATGTTGCTAAATTCGGACTGGCTCACATAAACGAATAACAAAAACAGAAATCTCTGAGAAACTGTCCCAAAAAAAAATCAGACTCCCCTAATAATGTTCCTACAGCCCTTTAGATCAGTGGCAGATGTTAAGGTGTTAGAGTGTTTAGTCGTGCTTTTGCATTGTAACATTTTGGCATAGTGCGAGAGTTTATAAACCAGGAGCTGTGGTCATATCGCTGAATTCCCTTTTCATTTCATCACATCCATTCTTCTATTCCATGTCTGAGAAACATCTGAAGGATTCACCTCCTGATGGTATAACGAAGAAAGCCTTGGCTGTCTTGTTTTTGTTTTTCTGCTGAAAACACAGAGAGCATGTTGAATTCTGTTTCCTCCCCCAACTCCAACAGGCTGAATACTCTTCCTGTATGTACTACATGGTGACAGTTGTTTGTTGTAGTGGACCTATAGTGAATGTTCTGTAGGTGAACAAAAATGTTTCTGCACATTTCAATTATTCACTGCAGCCAGCAGGTATTGCACTCTGTCCCTGTGTGTTTGATCCATGTGTATGCATAGCTAGTATATATTTATTAAAACAGACAATTTAAGCACAGGTTAGGATATGTGGGCTGCTCAAACTAAATTTGAGACTGAAGCACAAGGTGAATGCACATAGCTGTTGAGTAATGATGGTGTTTCTGACATGCTTGTGAATCTCACAACTAACTCTTGAAGACGTTAAAAAAAAATCCTGTGCGCAGTAGTGCCCTATGTAGCTTTGAAGTGATGTATCTCGAGACTTTGGGTATGTTGTGTGTCGTTACGGAACTGTTTCACCAGTAGAGAAACTCAAATATTCCTGTTCTGATATCTAGTTGCTCAGATTGTTGCGTTACTGTGGTAATAAATATAACATAACTGCTCTTTGTCTGGAGTCTTCCATTGGTGGTCTGAGATTCACTGTTTTAATTTCATTAAGCCGTAGTTTCTTATTTGATATTGGCATGCGAAGTACCCAAACCTTTACGGTTTAGATCATTCATTTATTGGAGTTATTACATTTGAAGTCACTTTAAAATCCAAAAGGTTGTTTTTTTTTCCTCCTGCTGGTCCTCAACACTGAAATACTATAAGAATATGTTGTTAGGTACGACACTTAAGCATTGTATAATCCTGACGGCTCTCACCACAGTATGATACATCCTAAACCTGAGCGTTGTTTTTGACATTTGCACAAAAAAACTACACTATTTAGGGAGCTGCCTATTTATAGTCTTCAGAAGGTTGATGGGTATTTTGTTAGTTCCTGAATGCCTTACAGAGAAGACTATACATGCTATTTGGGTATTCCACTGCCGATACCTGTAATTATCTGATGGAAAAACACCAGCATCACATGTCTGTTGCTTCATTTATGCATCCATACAGATCATTTAATCCTAATCTACATCATAATGTAATTATTGTAACTAATCCCAATTAAATATGGAACACAAACTTCACCTGACCTCATTTATACACCATGGTCATCTTTTGCCCTCCACACAAGTAGATGTGGAGTGACCTTTAAAGTGACCTTTATGCATTTGATCCATTTTAATTGCCATGATCCTCCAGCACCTCTGCAGTTTCTAGGAGCGGCAGAGCAAGGTGCGTCACAGCTCAAACTTGTTTGTTGCTCGTCTGACTCACCCCAGCTCTCAGTGCAGTAATGCAGATGGTACAGTGAGGTTTGCGGCGGTCTATCACAGTGGCGAGACAGCCCCGGTACTCTGAGCCTCTTGATTCGGGTGCATGTTTATGACCACACGGTCATAAAAAGAAGACAGCTGACTCAGTTTAAGTGCTGGTGAACCGCTCTTGAAGCTTCAGGAATCAGCAAATCATTTAAGAACGAGACCTCAAACATCTCGACAGAAGACCAAAACCAACAAATTTCATTTTAAGATCTTTTTTTGTTTTTTTATTAAAAAAGAAAACACAATCAAATTATTGCGTATAAAAGACAGTCACATAATCTTAATCCACCTACAGTAGAATGATACTGTATCTGTCATCGACTAATCTGACGCATCGAGGCGAGACTAAAAGCCATCTACTGTATGAAAATAAGATTCCAAAATATGAATCATAGTCTTCTCACACTCAACCAGAATAATTTCAAGACTTCAGTTAATGCTGTCGCTCGGAGCACCCTTGATGCTGATTTGTGTGTTTTTAATATCTCAGAGCACCTGACGCTGACCAAACTCTTCAGCCCCCCCCCCACCTCAACCGGAAAAAAATTAAAAAACAGAACAACCTCCTCGGCCTCTCTCTGATGTCTGCGGAGGCAGATAGAGGAGGTGTGTTCGGATTAGAGCACCCAGTGTTGACTATTTGTGAGTCAGCTTTCCTGGTTTCTCCTGACTGGACGCCGTCTCAAATGATTTTTGCCAGCCGACGGCCACACACGAGCTTCGAAGTAAACATGATTGGTGCGACAACAAGGATCCAAGTTCTACCAGAAACGCAAACCAATCGACGACGAGGAATCGCTCATTAGAAAAATAGGCAGAAAAAAAACTACACAGTGATTTTGATTGTAGCATATAATGAACAAAAAAAAAACAAAAGCAGTAATCTCTGCAGATGATCTACCTGAAGCTAAAAAACAGCCATCAGCCCATAGACTGTTAGAAAGGCCGAAAGAAGCCACGCACACGGTTGTGTAATCAGACGAGACCTTCAGTGTCATCATACACAAGTTAAAATAGATTTAGTTGTATCCTGTTTTACCTGTTCAAACTAAAATAAAACATTTAAACATTCTTACACACACACAAAAAGAAATCACTTCTTTCTCTCTATTACTCAGCTGCCACATGGAGAAGATAAATGTGCAAATATTTCATCTTCCTCATCACTATTAACATAACAAATAGTTAAAGTAACCTTAGTACAATGCAATGAAAAAATAAATATTTCTGTGGAAGAGAGTACACCGGGGACACCTCGCGTCTGCACATGCTGGGTGGAGAAAGTGTGAATGGTTCTGATCCACCCGGGAGTACAACAGTAGAGATACTAACGGGATGCAGTGGCTTTTTTTACCCCAGGAAATCACTTTTACCCTACAAACAAAAAAGAAACACCCAATTCTGACTAAATAACTGAATCGAAGAACACCACAGAGAGGGAAGCAGGGGAGGAACATCTAACATTCACTGGCCAAGGACGTTAAGTTGTGTGACAAGGGGCTGTGGGAGCTGTGGTATTACTACGGTACTGTATTCTGCTGACTTCAGCCACTCTGACTCCTAGTATTGCTGGTGCCCAAACTACACTGGAGCCACAGACAGAACTCAATCTCAATGATATCAGCTCTGAAAACTAAGGCGTGTGGTTATGAGGAAAGTACCAAAGAAGTGGACATCGGTGACCTTAAGTGACACTGCACATGTCCGGTGGTGGTCGTGACTGAACTATAGTGGCCGCTAGCATGGAGAGTTTTGTTAAATTACTCGTCGAGGAAAACAAAACAAAAAAACAGAGAAATAAAAACATGAGCACCGTTTTTTTTGGCATCTCCGTATCTTTCTTTGGTGACCAGGAGCAAGAAAAGTCGTGGGAGGGACAAGGAGGAGGAGACAGAGGGGTTTAGTGTTTAGTACTAGACTTGAAACTCGCAGGAGGAGGAAGAGGAAGAGGAGGAGGAGGCGCTTCTTAAAAAGCTCCTCCAGCGAGCAGTAAGGCCGAGGTGAGTTAGTCCAGTTGGAGATTATCCGTGTTGATCAGTGGCTCTGTCTGAAGGAAACTACTTGGCAACACATCATGAGCACCATCAGTTTGAGAGTCATAAGCAGTGTCTCATATATATATATATATATATATATATATATATA